TGCTGTGCCCCAGATTTGGATGCCGTAGGTCCATATTGGGATTATGATAGCTTTATATATCAACAGTTCTAAAGAACCTATGTATAAGCGTGTCAGCCTCTTAATCTAATCCGAAGCTTAATGGGTTTCATTTGAAAATCTTTCCCAATATATTTATTACCGACCTTCTTGAAGACATTTGCTGCTAATCTAGAGATTCCGACAATTAACTTGTAATAATCTGTCCCCATGCTTCCTAATCTATCTCTCCTATCCAGTCCCCAGATTTCCACCCCATAATTCATAGCTCGGAGAACTAATGATTTAAAAATTGTGGCACACATTTAAAGACAATTCCAGTGCTCTGCGCACTTCTCAACGACTTTCATTGAGCGCAATTCTTCCTTCTCTTTGAGCCGCCACAACGTGACTATTTCATCCCTCGTTCATGGGAAAGTTCGCTGCGAGATATGTAAACGTTTTGACCCGGCCGAACTTGTCCTACATGTCATACCATTTCTCTTTCACGCCCCAAATGAACCCATTTTTAAAGACAATTTTCGTGTTTTGAATATTTACTTTTAGCTCCTACACCTTACTATACCTTTCTGGGATGTTTAAATTCCTCTGTAAGCCCTCAATAGCTTCCGAACATAAAACTAAATCGTCAGCATATAGCAATCCGAGAATTTTCAGGACATCTCTTTCCTTCGCTCCTGTATTCGCTTCCTGTACTTTTGTCATTAAATCTTTTATAAACAAGATAAGCAATATAAACAATAGCGGTGGGAGAGGACAACCCTGTATTTCTTCTATTGTCGATTTAATGTTTTTACATTGTACTTCTTAATTCATTACAACAATTTGTTACATTTACATTGTTACATGTTACATTTACATTGTACTTCTGTCGCTGTGTTTGATGCAGAAATTTACTCACCTGTACACTTTTTTTTGCAGATAAAATGTTTTCGCTATAAATTTTCTCTATTAATTGAATCAAGAGCATTTTCGAAATTAACGTAACTGCAATATAAATGGTCCCGTGAAAGCGCATTATTTTACTAATATGTCTAAAGCAAATATATTGTTGGTGATTGCGAAACATCTTCCAAAACCAGCCTGTAATTTTGAGATTGTACTGTATTTCTTCGCCCATTCTTTCTGTCGAACGTTGAGAATTGAACAGAACAATTTTCTTAGCTGGTAAAAAACTAATTCCAGGGCAATGGGGGAGGGAAATTCATATCACCTTTATTCTTAAAAACCGATTGGAGAATAGCTGTATTCCACGTTTCCGGATACGATGCGGAGATGTTTCAAAATGTTTCTCAACACTTCTCGCATGCCATGCAGCAAGGCGGCTGCCGTCTGCTCTGAGCGAAGTGCCCGTGTTATGGTCACGTGGTTCGTGACGTATTTGGTGCTGTACAGAACGAGAAAAATCGGTGCACCCCCCGAACCAGGTCGCCCATGCCTATTCACCATGCTCTACATTACGATGACTACATTCGTTGAATATTTTTATTTTTCTTTCTCCTTCCACGATAGATATTTAGAGTTCAGGAGGACAGAAATATTGTTGCTACCTTCCGTACATTTTTGCTTGCTAACCGAAGATTTTCCAAATCGACACAATGGAGCATATCAGGGTTTGTATATCGAATCTTTGCTCGGCTGAAAGGCTGGGAATGATGACAGGATAAATAAGAAATGATATCTTGAGGTCCATGACGTATATTCTATGGAGCGGCTGAGGCATTCGTCTGGAAGTAAAGAGGTGACACCTCTAATGAGAGCAGTTGGCCTTCATTTTGCAGGTAGCAGTCGAACTCGCGATCTTCCTTCCGATCGCCGCTGCCGATGTTTTGATTCGTAGCTTCTTCAAACGGAAAACGACTTTAAGAATAAGTGCAATGTTCTATGTATATATTTTAAAACAGAGTTGTCAGATATCGAAACCGAACATTGTGTTTAATTGGAAGAGATAATATTTCTTTAATACGAATACAACAGAAACATCAAAAGTTCCGTGTTGAAGAGCGATAGTTATTTTTAGTAGTGGTAGTGGTGGTAATAGTACTAATGGTAGTAGTGGTGCCAATAGTGGTGGTGGTAGTAGTAGTCGTAGTCGTGGCCGTTGTAGAAGACGTAGAAGTAGTCGCAGTTGTAGTAGTGGTAGTGGTTGTAGTGGAGGTCGTGGTGGTGGTAGTTGTAATAGTTAATCATGAATAAATAAATAACTACTTAATTGACTAAATAAGTACCTAGTTCAAATATAGTCTTCAATTGCTGCGAACAATATAGTTATTTAGCGCGTAGACAATTAATTCCTAAAAACATTCAGTAATTAAAAAATAATATTCACAAATAATAATAGCTGTACATGCAATTAAGGTGCAGTAATTGACTCAGAGTTTGAATGATAGGAATTTAAAAAAGGAGGAGTGAATGAAAATAAAAACAGTTGTACGATGCGATTATTTATTATGTTTTTTGTACAGAAGGGTATGAATTTCGCTGCGGCGGACTAGTTTTCGGAAGGATATGTACAGCGGGAAGGGGTGTGGGGCGGGGGCGGGGCGGGGCGCTCAGCGGCGGCGGCGGTTGATGTCCTTGGGGGGGTTGGCGCGAATGTACTCGAGCGCGCGCAGGATGGCCTCGGGCACGGGCGGCGGCGTGGGCAGGTGCGCGCCCTGCGGCTGGAAGCCGTTCTCGTCCGCCACGTAGGTGAGGCTGATCTGCTCGCCCTCGGGGGTCTTGTGCGAGAAGGAGCCCGACACGGCCTCCCCGGCCTCGTTGCCGATCTGCTTCAGGCGGCCCTCCTGCTGGGCCTGCGTGCCGTCCGACGTCTCGTACCTGCGGGCAGAAACCTGCACTTTCAGCTGCTTCCCAGGGCACCGCTCGGGGTGGCTCAACTGGGTTCAAGGGGCAGACATGGGGCGGGGTGGTCCCCGGGACGGGCACGTTTAAGCTTGTTAATTTTATACACGTTTTTTTCTAGCCGATCATCTTTTACGTCCCGATGGGACACCTATTCGACCTTACACTAGACACCAATACACGCTTGTGGGCTCCTCTCATCTGGGGTCAGCAGAAATCGCGGCCCTCCACAACGACACGTGCATGAGAGACAAATGACAAACAACCACGCCCTACACGGAAATCGAACTGGTGACCCTTTGGACTGGAGCGCTGAGTCTGTACATGCTCTTTGCCTCCTCGGCCATCCAGGTCGGCTAAATATTACTTTAAGCATAAAAAATATGTTGTATGTGTTTTTTGCAGAAAAGTATATTTGAATTATATTTTCACTTATAAGTGAAAAATATGTTACGCTGTAGAATATTACTGACCATTAAAATGCATCTTTAACAATACGAACAATATAAAAACTTTTGTTTAACTGTTAAAATTTTATAATTTTTTTTCACGTCTGATTTAATAATGCAAATGGAATATAGATTTCAACTTGTTATTATCCAGAAAACACGTATGTTGTAAATGTACTGGAAGGTCTAAAATACTGTCGAAATATTTCAACAAAATCATATGTAGGTAAAAGAAACACTGGAATATACAGTAAAAAAATTACTATCATATTTCCAAACATTTCAATGAGAATGCGTATTAAAAATACGTTAAGAGTTGCCCGTTACAGCCTGCGGAGAGCTGAGCTTTTCCAAACTAAAATTAAGCAAAATTCATTTACTAACAGCAATGTTGCAAGAAAGATTAGGTTCCCTAATAATACTGTCAATATAATAATTTCCATCAGCGATGTTATTGACGTATTTGCAAAATAAAAGCTCTAAAAGTGCTCATGATGTATTATTTTCATTATTTAAAACAATGTTAACTATTGTAATAAGAAATACATTTTTTTCAAATTTGGATTGTTTCTTTTCACAGGCGGTGAGGTTCTGTATTATATTTTGCCCTGAGCGTCAAGATCTCAAAGACCGGCAGGCAGGTGTCGTTATGCAATACCTTTTTTGATTTAGTATAGCCGATTATTCAACAATATTACAAAAACCCCTTTCTTAACAATAAAGGGATTGAGACGATGAGTAGGACATTTATTAGATGAAGATAAACGTCCGATTGCCCCTCTGGGCTCCTCCGTGATGTCAGACTTGACTTTCTCCTAAACGCGCAACCCAAAGGTCTCAGATTCCGTTTCTCCGATAGCACACGACGGCCAACGTCGCTTTTCGAGCTTCAGGAGAGAGATGATCATTCTTATGTAAAAACGTGTCTGTAATATTCATAAGACGGTCTTGGAAATCAGAAGTAAAATGTGACCGTTATGTAAACTATAAGGTTTTGTGTATGTTAGAGGGGTATGCGAGTTGTAGTAAACCCTTCTTCGGCTCGTGACGTGGCGCATACTCACGCATATTGGAAGGTGCCGTCGAAGCCCACGTCGCTGTCGAGGCGCACGATCTGGATGTCGGAGGGCTTCTGGGGCCGCGCGGCGGCCAGCGCCACCAAGCACGCGAGGGCGATCTGTGCAGAGCAAGAACCCTATTCTCCAGTGTCCTTCGCCCTCTGCGGCTCCACTGGGACTTCCGTCGCCAATGGAATAAAATGTCGATTCTAAGTAAGCTTCTTTCGATACTGATATTGTCATTCAGTATTGAAGGAAAACTAGAAGTTTCGAAAATAAATGTAAAAAATAATTACATTATTCTCTGAAAAGTAACAATCATAACTATAAAATGTTGAATGATAAAACATTATCTTTTTACTACATAAAAACCCTGTAATTTGAGTTATAGTGAGGAGAAACTAAAATTCTCAGTTCTCGACCTACGGATTCCTACCAATAGTTCTGTATTATCTAACTTACGTTCTTTCTGCTGTTATGTACTAGGCATATTTAGTCAGCAAACTTTTCACTGCCCGAAACTATTGTAAACAGTTAAAAATAGAAATTTTCCATCTGGTTGCGAGAGTGATTGTTATAATAAAATATATTTAAAAAAATATTTTGGAATAGCCTTGGTTTTTATGCGCAAATTATTTTTTCAGTTATAACATTTCTTACATTATTGCTACTTCAAAATTTTAAAATTCTCTTTTGAACACTCTTTATTTCAACACTCTTTATCTCTACACAAAATCGGCTAAGCGAATTGTTGTCTTCCATTCAATGCTCCAGGCACCGCAGTATTGATTAATACTTTAAAAGTTTTCATAAACGAAGTACAATTTACAAACGTTTATTTGTTGCTTTGTTAAATGAATTTCAGAATCAAACGTTCATAATTAATATTAAATATTTCTGACCCAAAAACTTAAAAAAAGGTTTTTTCGCGTAGTATTGGCAACACGGCCATAGGTAAGTGAAGTCTGTGGCTTATGGGAGAAATAAATGCTAAGACTGATCAGTTACATCTTAATTAAGTTTCACTAAAGTGAACCTTCAATTAACTACTATTTATGGTAAATACATTTCTTGCTATTCGCAGGGTATCTTCTATCTATATTCTTTGCCAAATGATTTGCCTATTGTTACGATGTAACAGATTGCGAGTAAAAATATTTAAAATAAAAAAAATGTTATACAGGAAAGACCGGTCTACGGTCAACTTAATTTTTACGTTGTGCTCTTTCTCAAGAAGAAATTTCTGTGAAGCGAAATGTGTCGCTCACTTTTCGTTCAAAGTAGGCTCAGTGGTAAGACGTCACGTCAGATTTTGGACTAATAATGATCCAAACTTCCTTGAAAGTTTTGCAATTTTTTCCCCAAATGAATGAAATAGAAATTCACGAAATTCCGCGTATCCAAGTCTTTGCGTATGCCACAGCTGTTCACATTCCCGGTTGGCCCTCCTCACAGTGCGAAGTGATGCCCTTGGGCGGAAACGCAGCCGGGCGATGCGTGCGAGTGCAGGCGGCAGGCGTGAAAGCGATTCGCGCCCCGCGCCCCGCCCACGCCCCGCCGGCGCTGAGGCAACTCCGGCGCTGAGGCGATGGCCCCCAGTCGACGTAACGGCGTCTCAGGCGATCCACTCGGCGGCGCTTACCAATTTCATCATTGTCACGGGGTGGGAGGAGACGGCGGCGGCGGCTGCTGCGAAGGCTCGAGAGGCTGAGAGGTGCTGGCTGCACTGTGCCCACCCAGGCCCCGAGCCCCGTTTTATACGCCGGCGCCCGGCGCGGCGAAAGGGTCCGTGGAGGGGTGGAGGAGGTTGGGTTCCTGGCGGGCGCGGGCGCGGGCGCGGGCGCGGGCGGCGGCGCCGGGGGCGAGGGCAGGGGCCGGAGAGTCCGGCGAGGTGCAAAAAGAGGAGGCGGGCGCGGGTCAAACGCCACCCGGCCCCGCCCAACGGCGCGGGCGATGCAAATCGGCGCCCGCCGAGCAGCGGCTTGGCGCATCGTCAAGGTCGGTCGCGGAAGCGCCGGTCCGCCGCCTGTGCGGGGAACTTGCAGTAACGGACGCGGCGCCGAAGAGTACATTGCCTACGACGAGGCTCTTCTCTATGTTTTTCGCTATTTGCATTCCTCACCAGCTTACACGTAAATCTACTAGACGTTTATACACTTGGAATTACCGTGACAAACCACGAAACGTGTAACTGCTCTTTAAGTCGGAAGGTCATGTGTACTTGCAGAGTTGCAACACAAAAACAAGTGCATTAGCACATAGCTCTAAAGGTGTCCAATTTCGAATTTGAACAATTCTTTACGAAAGAAAAGTGTCTCTAGAACAATTCATTTTTAATGTCCAATTCATTAAAAAATTCACAAAATGCAATACGACTCTAAAATGAAGTTTTCAATAAAAATATAATCATGGTATTCCTATATGTTAGTAAGAGGTACATTTATAGAAAAATCTATTTTCGAGCAGTTTTCTTATTCGTATCCCGAAGAAATTGTCGTAACATTTGTTTTCACCTATGAGTCTTGACAATTGGATGTTAAATTGAAAACTGTTATACCATATAATTGTTGGTACAAGCAAACATAAAGACGCAGTCACACATTTCTGGAAAAGAATTCCTTAGAGGAACATGTTATGTGAATGTTGCCAGTGCTAACCCACACCGCCGGTGAGGCGCCCGGTTCCGCACTGCTATTGTTCGGCCGATAAGCAGGTCACCGTTTCTTCAGACACCTCTCTTCTCCGAAGCTCATAAATGTCGCGTTTGTGAATGGGACGAGCTGCAGATATTTGACCTTCTTGAGAAACAGACTCACAGTTCACGCCTTTCGACGAGTTCACACGCTAATCCCGCCCAATACAACGCGGCCGTTGTGCTAATTAAGTCGTCCCATTTGGAAAGTATTTCGTCGAAGTTCTATCATTAAGGCACTCCCACACCGATTCCACGTCGAGTCACTCTCATGGGAAATGTAGCGCTGCACTCGTCATTCAGTGCTTTGTTCTTGTCATCTGGCTTGTTGTTTTCGGACTCATTCATTATGAAAAATACTTCCATCCATCCATCATTCACACATTCAATTTTTTGGTACAAAATTGCGTTTATCTTATCGTCACTTACGCCAATATTAACATTGCAGAAACACCACTAAAACATGTTTATCAAGATTTCTGTGCAAAGTTAGAGCTTCGAAAATCTTTAACCACGGATTTTACGTTTAAAAATTCCAATTTGCTGAGATTATAGTAAAAGAAGGAAAACTTTAAAATAATTAGACCCTCAGTAAGTTAATAAAGTATTATATTTATAAAATGGTTCTGACATGACAGTGTCCCAGATATGGCCTCTTCAGACAATAAAAATCATTTAAAATGTCAAGATATGTTTTTTGTTGCTACCACGTGATACTTTCATTAGTGCTAGGTATATAATTAGGCTACATGATATACATCAAGCAATGTCAATGTACTCTCAAAACTACCAAAGACGGGGTGTTACAGTTATGTATCTTGGACATCAAGTATCGCAACGTATTGAGTTTAAGAAAGATTTTTTCGAAAATTTATTTATTAAATTAAAAAAAAATATTTAGCGTCTTTAAATAAATAAATTAATTAAAAAAGACTTGATAGCTATTTCAGAAGTTTCTGAGTATCCTAAGATGTCATTTAAATGAAATGAATGTATCATGAATGAAAACTCTTGACATATTATTTATAAAATTAAAATCTTAATATCCTCAATATTTATTCATATCAATCAGTTCTCCTGTTTCGCTACACCGATCTTGATCTTCTTCGCGTATTAAATGTAAACTCTAAGTGAAGATAATAAATATACACACGTTCTAAAATTAAACAATATGGAATGACCGACAAGGGTGGCCCGTGCATCAACTGATGTTAGTGCAGTTCCTCTGACCGGGAAATCGTAGGTTTTGAATCCCGACGGTGGCTGAATTTTCGATACTAGCTACGTAGCTAGGTCGAATTCAGCTTTTCCCTGGAGGAGAATTCTATTGGCCGGCTGCTCCTGGGGATTTTCCTGGTCTCTCCGATCAACTCAAGGTGGATGTTCGAGCACAACCCTATCAAACGGGCCAGACACCTCGAGCGATCTTTCCTTCCTCTTCCTTGTTCTATCCTACCCCTTTTTACACACATTTACACTCACATGCGCTACACTACCACACGCGTCGGGAGCTTAGAGCAACGTGTGGTTGGTGCGGTGCCACGCTGATGGGAGATACCTGGATCAGTAAATCTTCGGCAGTCGATGTAGGTTGCCGCTAGACTTTTCCATCCAACTGGGAAGATAAACGCCACCTCCCGCGTAGAAAACATGCACTGTCGGAACTGATTAGCTTAGAATTTGATACACTAGGAATCACTAATCAATCATTCAATCAATCATAATATAGAATGATAAACCTTGCAAACTACTAGAAGAAGCAGGGAGGTCGAAACTTTCCACCTTTGTCAGTGAACATATAATGAGGAATTATATTGGAATATTTATGGCCATGCAATGGGAATATCCATTGACATTTGACACTGAACGCTAGGCTCCCTCGTATGTGCTGAGGTTCGTCAGGTACATAAAATCTCCTTGACGGCGTCAGAAGCCTTTCGTGCCTTCGAACATCCATGCTTTAGGAATGGAAAAATTATGGAAAGTGTTACATTTCGTTGTATTAATTTTACCACTACATTCTCACTGTAAAAAGTGATGCAAACTCCTTTACATGTACCTATAAATGTAAATGTAAAGTAAAATGGAATGATATTATAATTACGATATTTTTAATGAATGGTTTATGATTTGCCAACATTTCTACGAATTTGGTTCCGTTACACATTTCCGCGTTTCTCTCAGTTACATGAACAAACGTCTAATATGTAGTTTGACTGAGAAACGCTATTTTACTACATTTCTTGACGATTTTCTTTTTCTATGCGGGATGGATGGTAGTTATTAAAGTGAATCAAAGGAATTGGGATATTTCAGATATTTTTATACAAACGACAAAAGGCAAGTTGTGAATGTATGTAATTGAGCGGCTTATTCCGTGAGCTCTGTATCGCCCTATAACTTATAATTCAATAACATAAATATAATTATAATAATCTACGCTTTGTTAATTATATTTGATAATAAAATGCAATGCTACTTACTGATGTACAAACAGGGTGTCTAAGAGCAGTGTGGATGAGAATAGTTCTTAATTTTCGACGAAAATATTACAGTTCTGTCTGATCCTTTTTTACGCTCGAAAAGAAAAAACTCGATGATCAATTGGTTTATTGATTTTCAGTGATTCGGAGTTCGTCCAATGATAGGTTTACTAGTCCCGTATTTCTAGCGCATGATATTTGCTCGGGATGTGGATGTGATTTTGTCCTGGTGAATGCCCCAAGATCCGGCGCCGACCTACCGTCGGTTAGCGTTTTTTTTCAACCAGGTATATCCCACCAGGGCCACTACTTAACAGGCTCCCGATCGGCCTCTTGGATGTGTGGTAGTGTAGTGATTGTAAGTGTGTGAGTGTAAGGGCTGATGATAGGACAATGAATGAGAAGGAAAGGTCGTGCGCGGTCTGTGACCCGTGTGTTAGGATTCTGCTCCGTCATTTGCCTTATATTGATCGGAGAAAGGACAGAAAATTAAAATCAGAGCAGCCATCGGCTAGAATTATCCTCCAGACAGCGACAAAACTCGGCCTGGTTATTTGGCTTGTGCCAAATCGCCTGCCACCGCCGGAACTCAAACTCCAGGATGTCTCGGTCAGAGGCACTGCAGTGACATCAGTTGATGCCCTGAGCCACCTCTCCCGGAAGGAAAAACTCTACATAAGAACACAAAACAAAACTGGGAAAACAAAACTATCTGAATTACTTTTGTTAATAAACTGCATATTTTAAGACTGATTATTGGATGAATATAATATTAGACAAATGCATTAGTGTTTTTACCAATGTTTTTATAAAATGCAAATACTGCTTTAATTATTACTTCAAGACCAATTCACTCAGTCCTTACTTCATTGAAGTAATGTAGCATACATTTATTACTGATACAAGGTCATTTGATAAAAAAATTTAATTCCATGAAATATACTACTATTTGTGATCTCACTTTATCAGCATACTTATGTACAATGAAATATTCTCTTAAAAGTCGCATAACTGTGTGGGGTGTTCAATGATTCCAGCCAAGTTTTTCCTGCACATTTAGGTGCGAAGATACGGCTTCATATTTCAGCACTTGTATTATCATATTTTTAAAACTTGAAATGATAATATCATTTTCCAAGCTTGTTGGATAATAATAAATAAACGAAAACAATTTCCATGCATAATAACATCGCAATAAATCGTTGACCCTACGGCGTCTCCAGCCAGTTTGGGCCATGAGGATGTGGCTGTATGGTTGTAATATCTCTCCATGTATAAAAAACTTGTGAATTAGCAGCTATGAAGTAAGAGTTAAACTAGTTCTTGAAAAAAGAGTACTGACTATCTGTGTTTCTTTGGAAAGTACTGAAATAACTCATGGAAAGTGTCTATTGACCGGCCTCCTCTCCAAAACTGCAAATATTTTAATACAGAATTGCAGTAAAATATTTTCACATATTGCTGTATACGTTTAGCATTAGTTCTTAACATCACAACTTTTCAACAATTATATTAAAATTTATTCTGAAGGCAGCCATTGACCCCTTATACTAGTATGTCCGGGTACCGAAATGACATTAATACGTGACTGTTAACGTTCAGTGGCAATACAATTGGATTTTATTTCTTCAGGCGTTGTGGCGTGACGATGCACTATGATACTGCTGGATAGTGCTCTCCAAGATAGTAAAATCTTACAGTTTTTTAATTGAAAATAACTGAACAATGTGACTATAATTTCAGCACGGAAACCCATGTGAAGAGAGAAATTAATACTTGCGCCTATTGAACTCGTCGATGCAATTT